GCTGAGGTGCTAAAACTCTTTTAGGAACTGTTCTGAGGTAGATCAGGGAATTGATCTAGGTTAGAAAAAGAAGAAAAAACAAAGGGCTGAGGTAACTGGGGAGAATGAGGAACGACTTAAGATGAAAGGTTGAGTCATGGCTTTGCTATGGGTACCATTGTGACTTGGCATGTTTAACTCTGTCGGGAGCTGCACTGAAACAATGACCATGGCCACACTGTGTCCACTTCCATTAGAGGGCTTCCATACTTAGTGTCTGCTAGGCTGCAAGGGGACAATTTTCAATTGCTTTAAGATGACAGAACATGTCGAGCTTAATCTTTATCACTATGATGTTTAATATTTTATTTGCTCTCTGTTCATTGATGGGAGAAACAGAAAAATGCTAAATACACAAATAAAATAGAGCAACGAATAACAATAATCCAATCTTGAAATCTTTGCAACAAAAGGATTTGGATGCTAGGAAATTATCTGCCCTTGATTGAAGACCCTGGAACCTTCAACCAAATAAATTAATTCTTTTCCAGTTCTGAATAAGTGATGCTTGCTACAAAGTAGAACTTGCCCTTCTATGAAATGTGTTAAAGGAAAATATCATGCATATAGCGAGAATGTTGGATTTCAAGGGCATGATGTTAATCATAGCAGATCACAGTGCTATGGCAGAGACAAAAATAAAAGCAGCAAAGACAAGGAGAAACATGTACCACGATTTAAAATAGAACTCCCACGCTTACAGCAGGATGAGATTGATGTATTAGACACAAAGAACTTCTGGCAAGTGACCTCTAACACTTATTATATGAAACACTGTACAAAGACTGTTGGCAAATGAAGTTATTTAATACAAAAATCAGTCCCTTTTCAAAAATCTGTGGCAGAATGACTATCTTTGACAATAGCTCAGAAATATTAATGGTAATGTGAACAAGTTACAAGTAGGAAAGGAAAAGCAGAGAAGCATTACTCACAACTTAGCAGCCTGACTAATCATTCTAGAACTGAAAAAGTGTAATAATGAAAAAGAAATTATTTAATATCTTTATTAAATTTTAAGTTAGGTTTATTTTGAAAAGTATAGACTATAACTACTTCTACAAGTGATAAATTAATTCTGTGCTTGGTCACATGAAGCTTACCTTGCAAAACAAAACAAAAATATAATAAAACTTACTCTCATTATACAAAAATACATGGAAAGTTAAGGATTAGTAAATGTAAACACTACAAATTCTCTATGACTTTTGGTTTCAAATTCCTTATCTTCACACCTCAAAATAGCACACCTCCTCTTAGCTATAATACCAGGAAAAATTTAAGAAAAATTAAATTACATTAGTTTAGTAGTTCTACTTATGAAAAAGGGTTATTACAAAGTTTAGGACTAAGATGAGCTAGAAATTTTCTTCCTCTGAAAAATAATCCTGTTTGCATATCAGATTTATGACTGCTTCCTTCCTTAGGCATAGATATTTGACACTTGAAGAGAAAGAACAAAAATTATGTGGGACACCAAGAATCCCTTTTGAGTCTTGACCAAATTATTTAGGATGGCTGCAAATCTGAAGAAGAAGAAAACATGGCACAGAATATCCATGGACACAGAAAACAAAAAGGATTTACAGTACCACAAGTTAGCTTCCTAACAACAGCTAAAAAATATTTTTAGGCAATAGCTAAGTAAGAAACCTGGTTGAAAATTCCTCCTTACCCAAACTCACAGCAAAATTAGTGCCATATCTTGATGGAACTCTTCTAGGTGAGATTCTTTCTGATCCCCTATTTTGACTTGAAATCATCTCTTTGTATCTCCCTTGAAAGGATATGTGTCCTGGACTTCATTATACAAAAGGCAGCATCCATACATTACAAAAAAAAAAAAAAAAGTTATAAAATTAAAAAAAAAAATGGATTCTAGTAATATAACTATTGGATTTGAAAATTTTATGACTGTGGCTAGTTGCCAAGTTGTAACAAGGTACTGACTTGTGGAAAATCATTGTTTCCAAATCTTTCAAGGAAAGATGAAAAATAACTTGGTAGTTTAAAACTTGGCAACATCAGTGCTCCAAAAGGAAAGTAGGTAATGAGGAGGGGAAAAAAAAGCATCTACATCTGTTCTAGGTTGCCAACAGAGCTTCTGCATAAAAATGCAATCAAATATTCTGGAAACTGTTCACAATTCTTCTGCAAGAAAGTTAATGATGCTTTCGTAAACCCCTGCCTTCTCTCTCAGTGTAAGACGACAGTAGAGCTAATAACAGCTCCTTGTAGGAAACTGGCCAGCACATCATGTATCAGTGAATATCTTCTGTGATATTACTGATACAGGAGCCCATCCTCTTTCCATCTGCCTCTTATCACTAAATACAAAAATTGTAATAAAAAATGTTACGTATCTTTCTAAATGGATTCGGATTGGAACATCTACGAGCAGAATAATAAAAAAATATATTAAGAGAAAGCTTTCTTATCATATGTACTCAAGGCACAGTGCCCAAAGACTTTAAAACACCTTTCATATTCTCCTATTCCTGTCAATAAAGTCCTGGGTGGCTTATGTGAGGACATTACAATAGTATATTGTAGCCACCAACCAATAGTAACATCACCAGGCAAGGCTGTACTACCAAAAAAAAAAAAAAAATCACAGAAATGAACATTTGTCACTCCTGACCATTTCAGCATAAAATAATCAAAATTATTTTCAGGACTTCAGTTTTTCTTCCAAGGTACTATTTATTTATGATGACTGAGTCATACACAAACATTTCTAACATCTATTAAACATCTGACACCTGTTAAATACTTTCAAACAAATATTAGATTTTATAAAATTTTGGATAAGCAAAATTTTTTTTCAAAACATTAATGAGAATAGAGTACAATAATACCTTAATAATAATAATTGAAACCTCTGAACATTCAACTGTTTCTGGCTTTCTTTTATCTACTTTACAATCTGTCAAAACAGTCCCTTTTACTATTGTTTTCCATGTCTCTCCAGCTGTACTCCTTGTGCTCCTTGTGAGTTTGTTTGTTTTCTATGATGTTAAAAATAATCCACAAAAATACTTGTGTATTTTGTGTTAGTGCTCCTTATGAGCTTCAACATTAGTGCTCCTTATGAGCTTCAACATTCATTGCAGCTGTCAGGTTATTTCTTCCTTATTCTTTCCATGTTTATATATTTTCTGGAAAGATACTACTTTCCAGAACATGAGTATTTGATATTATTTACTTTTTATAGCCTTCTACCTCACCCTTATTTTCGCTGTTTACTTAAAATCTCCCCACCTATTCTTTCATTAGTATCTATTCACATGTGAGAGAGAACATAAATTCCAGAGTTTTGTAAATATGTTTTTATTTACACCATAGGAATGCACAGGTCCTAGACACCTGTCATGTCAAAGGAGCAGCATTTGTCAGCAATAAAAGATAACACTCACATAATTCCACACTTTTCCTTGCAGAAGAAGACAAAGGCAATGAGGAAATTAGGTAAAAAACCCTACCCTAGACAAAACATAACTGTGACTGATATAGCTGACTTCAAAAGTGCAGTGAGGATATTTTAAGGCATTACAAATTATTCTGGAAGTGTATAGGTAGTTGAGAATGTTAGTGAGAACACTGTAATCTTGGAATAAAATTCTGTTCTCCCACATTCTGACTGGAGTAATTTTATCTCAGATGTGTTTTGCATAAGATGTGGAGTATGTTTTAATCAGCAAAGTATTTTTGTGGATTATTTTTAACATCATAGAAAACAAAATTCAAAAATTAAACATTCACTACAGCGAAACAACTGGAAATATCTATGACTACTAGTATCAGTTCCCCTTCTCCTTAAATTCAGTTACCTTAACAACTTTATGCCATTTAATCAAGAACATCAGACGACTACTTAATTTTATTCTAGATCGCATTAATGCAGTTGATTTTGCCGTTGCCTTAATTTATGAGTCATTTTAACCACATCAGCAGACCCATGCTGTGAATCACAATTTGTAACCTTTATTCTGGTTCCAGTTACAAACAGCAGAAAAACAGCCAGTAGCTTTCATATGAGTTACTTACTAGTACAGTGGAACTTCCATTTTTGGAGAAAAAATGTCCAGTTAGGAAAACATTTCTTCCAAGGAGAAATATTTGCTATTAAAAGGCCTGGAATGGAGACAAAAATGTTTCGTCCTGCTTCCCATTATTATCTGGATACAAACTAAGTTCAGAGCCTAGATAACACTGCCTATGATTTAAGTTAGGGAAAATTAATGTTCTTCATCTTGTTTATGTCTCCTGCTACCACAACACTCCTCTGCTCTTGACAGTGTCATAAGAGGCAAATATGCAGGGCAAGATGTGTCCAAAATCCAGCTATTACTATGGGAAGAACAGGACACAGAGGGGAAGAAGGTTCAAAAATAAACAGAGAGAATACTGAATCAAAGCTAAAGAAAATTTTATGTAAGACGTGGTCAATAATTATCATTTGCAGCTGCATAAGGGGTCTGGTACTAGTAAACATTAATAAAATGACACATTATGATTTTATATTAAATTTTCCTTGTAAATGTCTGTTCTTTTTTCAAAACATGATTGCATTGTTATAGGTGGTTTTGATTAAACATTTTCTCTATATGTATAAAATAATTTTCCTATTTTATTTTTAATTTCAATATACAAGTGCAACATACATTTGCATGTGGTCAAATTTGGAAGATGTATAATATTTCAATAAAATCACAAGTTTGAATGCAACGATTAAATATGAATATTTACTAAAGATGAACTTTGAATAGAATGATTCAGCAAGGTAAAATTGAAAAGGCAAATCAATAACTTTTAAAAATATAAGAGACATTTTAAAATAAAAATACACCAAGTTTAGATATGCAAACATACCAGCATGAAAAATGTTTTATGCATTCAGTAGAACGAAATGAACACTTTGTTTGTGAGAAATTATATCTATAATTTAAAACCACTTGCCTGAAAACTTCAAGGAATACTGCCAGTTCAATAGAGTGGCCACCATTATAAATCTGTATCCACCAAATGCTGTTTTTTCTACTTTTTGTACAGAAGAAGAGCAATGAAGGTATACAAATATAATATTTTATCCATGTTTTATGATGGCTACAACAGATCCTTGAGGGAAACAGAAAAGGAGAGGGTAATATGTAAAATAAATATTGTAGTGAATGACAGAACTTTGCTAATTTACGTAACAAGAGAACCTCCATATGCTTCTGAGTATTTGGTAGGGGAAACCTACAGTATATCCTCCTGATAAAAACTCATTACTTCAGTAAGTTAAAAAGAAATTCTCAAATTCTTCTGGAAGTTTGCTCTGGTGGCCTCTAGGAGAAATGCTCTCCTCAAATTTCCTCACCTACAACACAGGACTTCACCAGCTCCTTAAAAAGAAAAGGCTATTTTCCTGAACATTTTGCTTATGATATTTCTTAAGAGAAAAGTAAAAATGTAAAATGAAAATACTGCATGAGATGAAACTAATTTTCTTTTCTTTAGCATAACCTGAAACCAAGTCTCCAGGGCTGAAAACTCACCTGCTATTTCCCTCCAATATTTCAAACTTACAAGCAACTCAGTTGAGAAATGCAGACAGGTAAAGGAAGACATAAAAATGTCGAAAGCAAAACCCACACTTTTACTTCTACTGCAAACTTTAACTCCTATAGATAGGATTCCCAAAGCCTGCTGGCCATGGAAGTTGACAAATGCTGTGTTCTGCAGATGTAGCTGCAGTAACACAGCTGGATATAATGCTCTGTGCATCTGGTGCACAGATGTTTGATTGTGTCCTTGGTAGTTAGCCAGATTTTGAAGGATCCATTTAGTTCTTGGAGTGAAATTGAAAGAACAAGAGAACAGTCCACTGGTAGTAATAATACTCCACATTTCTCTTAACTGCCTTAACCACTCTCACTTTCCCTATTAAGCTGAGTCATGGTAGTTTTCTATTACCTTTTCTGAATGCAGGATCTAGAAGAGAAAAACTAGTTGGAACAGAGCAAGCAAAAAAATCAAAACTCCACTTGAAGTTCTTTGCTATCCCAGAACTCTTATTTTCAGTCCCTTTTTGGGAATAACTCCATCCAAACCTCTTTGGAGACAATAGGGGGAAAAAAAATTAATGAGCTTTGGAATCAGCCTGAAAAAGTGGGAAATGACTGTTCAACCTGAGCAATTTCAGCACTGTTATCACTGCTCAGCTCTGTCAGAAGGAATTTATCCTTCTTTAAATTACATGCTTATTTTACCCTGCATAAATTACCTACATTTTACCAATGTTTTCTTCAAAATGTTTCAAACTTTGGTTTCATGTTGGTTTTGGCTGCAGATTATCCTTGAGTTTTGCAGCGAGCTGTATGCAGCATTCCAGAAATACGTGTAGCAACATTAGAATATAAGGTGCCTGTTTGCTCCTGCTAATAAAATCTCTGATTCTCTTCCCCTCACCAGAAGTGAGGAACATGTCAAAATGTAACAAATCAGCAATAAAACCACAGAATTTAAAAAGACACACCTGACTTTCTGGGAATACTTTTTGTGTTTTGGATCATCCATTTTTCAGCAAGACGCTTTTATCCATGTGATTATGTTGCCACTGCAATAGCAATTACAATTATTAAACAATGGCAATGGAAAGAATGTTATAATTGCGTGAATAAAGATTTTAAAAAATACATGAACAGTGATATGAAATGAGGTGTAAAATCATAACAATGTGTTTTCATCAGGAAAAAAAGAACCCAAAAATTACTTACTTGGACCTTTCATTATTGGCTGAACTGAGCTATTTCTTTTTTAGCAAATTTTGTTTCAATAAAAATATAATTCTGGATGAAAAATTATATGAGGAAACATTTGTAACTGGCTTTTATTAATATAACTGATCCCATAAGCCATACTAGGATCATTAAGAACGTAACAATTACCTTGCTGTTACCAAATTCCTTCTAGCTTCTGCCAGCTGCCTGTCTCACACTTCATGGTGTCGACCTAGAAAGACAGTAAAAAAAAATCCTATTGAATAAAGAGTGTCAGTGGGAATTCCATGCCTTCATTGCCCATCTTGGAAGCTGTTTCCACTGCTGGGTACTGAGCTGCATTAGCTAAAAAAAGGGAGAAAGTTTGTATTTGAAGCAGTCCAGCTCGTGTACCTGACCTGTCTTTTCCTACTTCCTGACCTGTCTGCTGAGACAGAAACCAGATAGCTGAGTGAGAAGAGCTTTTTAGAGAAATGAATCTCGAGTTAAAAATTGTGACTTGGCACACTCAGGCACGTGAGATGTATCATTTCTGAAATTCATTCAGCCCTCAGACTTTAAGAGCAGCTGAAGAACATTGCAGTGGTGGCTTTCATCCATAAATAAAGTTACACATTTAACAGTTGGGAAAGCATGCTAAGTGAATGCTAAACATTCAAGGGGAGAGGGAATTTTTACAGAGGGGACTCTTACCTTCCTGAGGACATAAGACTCTAGTCAGAAGCTTCGAATTTATTAGAGTATAATCTAAACCCTGAAGTTTTATATTCTGACAAGAACTCTTCTCCTTTCAAAATAAAATCAATAAAAAAAATTCAATTTTTCCTTCTCTGAAGTTCCATGCTTAGATTGCATCATTCAAACAAGTCCAAACCAAGAAATAAAACAGATAAATCTGAGTGATGACAAGAAAGCAGCAGCATTACAACAGCAACTTAAACATTGCCCAAATTTTACTCAACCAATTTGCAATGCTGGAAACTGAAATGTTTTATATATTTCCCATTTGTTTATTTCTGAGAGTGAGATCTGATCCCATTGAAGCCAATTTGAAATACAGCATTATTTTAACTGGAAAAAACAATTCTCTGCATTAGCAATATAATTCAGTCTGCTCATGGCGTAAAACTCCAGAAAATTTGGATATATTTAGGTTAAGCAAATATATTACCTTCCAAAAATTAAAACAAAACAAAACAAAAAATGTTCCATGAGTGAGTGAAAAGTAGGAAAATGGAAGCTGGGAGAATCTTTCCTTTTTTGCTCCACTCATTTTATCACTTTTCTCCTGAATTCTTATTCAAAAGAACAAACTAAAAATAGACATAGATGCATAGAAAATTGAAGGTTCTGTAGAATCAGGGGGTCACTAAGGTTATCTACAGGACAGATTAAAGCAGTTTCCATGCTATATAAGAGTAAAAAAAAAAAAATCTCAGTTTGAAAAAGACATGAGAAAGGTTTATAGAAACAGGAATTAAGAGGAAAAAGTGAAGAAGAAACAGTTGACTTGTCTTTGAAAAAATACAGGAATAAGAGAACAGCCCAGAAAATAACCAAGTGGTAGATTTAAAATAAGTCAGGGTACATTTCCATGAAGCACATTACCATGCTGCAAACCTCATTGCCACGGTATGCTATGGAGGTCACAGAGATAAAAAAGATTGGACAAGTTCATGGAGGATAATTCCACTGATAAACCAGGCAGGAATTGTGGGGCAGGATATCTGCTTGATGCAGCTGGGGTGCTGTAGCAACAGAAGGATGACTCCACAGTGACCCTTTGCCTTAAATATTTTGTAGATGTCTACTCTTGGTCATGTTTAGAGACTTAGGAATGGTTGCCCAGCCATGATCCTAATCTCTTAAACCCAAAGTATGGGCATATTTTTAATTATTGCTGTTTCCTCAAATAGATGAAAAAGACAACCTCCATTTTTAGCCATAGCAAATTAATACAAGGATGACAATCCAAAATGAAAGGAGATGCTACTTGGAGTATTTATTCCATTTATATGCATACATCTATAGAACACAACATATATAAAACTTTAAGTAAGTTTTTCTCTCTCCAAAATCTGTTCAATTACACTAAAATGAGAAACAGCACGCTCCTCTTTTGAGCCTTTGGAGTCTCCAAATCATTTGAGAGCTGTTCTTTTAAAGATATGGGAAACCTACCAAAATACCAGATGTTTAATCAATACTCTTAACATTTTGGAAGTCTAGAGTGTGGAAAGGAAATGTCAATTGAATCGCTCTGGAAAATCGGATCTTTTGATTTTCACAGTCTGCAATGCACAATATTGACAGTGAGAAAAAGTTGGCTTCTTTTTCAAAAATACAAATCTGTGAGCAAAACTTTCACCATCTCCATTCCATAAATATATTTGCTTAAAAAAACCCAGCACCATAAACAAACAAGATCTTGTGGAGTTTCTTTGGAGATTTTGCCTGCATCTAATGAAATTTAAAATAATCTTTTATTTCTTAGGTGGGCACTTGCTTAGAAAGGAATGTATATTCTGCTTCTGAAGGTTAACAATCTTAACTTTTCAGACTTATACATCCTTACAGAAATGAAATAATATCTGTGCAGAAATATACAAAACATAATTCATGGCAGCTAATTTTGTATGTGTATATATGTATATATACAAAAATATTTTTTAAATTAAGTGCAAGAAATCTCATTCTGAGTTAATGCATAAACCAGATATTTTAATACCTTTTTTGTTTAGTTATTACTAAACAGCAGACTCATTTAATCATTATCATTGAAAATTTTTATGTTGAAGACAAGAAGATTCTATTATACAGATTTTAGTTTTAATTAAAAATGCTTTTTAAAAACATTTTTTTCTTTTTAAGAATGGACTTTAACACCAGGACATTTTCTTATGCTTACTGATAGATGCCAAATGGCAGTTTCTGACTTCAAATAGGTCAGAACATGTCTTTTGCTGCATGAAAATATCTCTTTCAGGGTATGCTTTTTCCAGAAACATCTCTATATCAAGAACTTAATTCAAATACTTCTCCGCTTTCTAAAAACAAGCCCCATCATGAGCATATGTATTCTTCCATCTAATACTGAAGCATCATTACTTCAGTCATTTGATATTTTCTTCTTCCATTGATAGCATGCCAAATGATATCATGCTAGATTTGTATTAAACACTAGAAATATATTTGTTAAACCTACATTTCATCAGTATAGGAAGGAGAAAATATATTCTTATTCAACACATCAAACAAATGGCCAGAAACTGAGGTAGAAATGAAGAAAACAGGTTCAGTGTGTGGCTTTGCTATGCCTTTTTAGCTTGTTTGCTAATTTGGTTGACTCATCTTTTCAATGCATAATCACAGTTTGAAGACATCTCCATAATTACTTTAACAGGATAAAAGCAGGCAATGTTCATACTGGGGTTCTTTACTAGCATCCCCTAAATATCTTAACAGCTGTTTTTGTTATAAGCATTTTTGGTAGATTCACTAGAGGCTGAGAGAACTTTAACACAAAAAATAGTATGGCAACTCTTTTATGTTTGCTTAAGAAAAAACAAAACAAACCCACCAAAGAAACCTATTTTCCCCAGTAATTTTAAATTGTACTGTGGTTCTTACTAGTCATTTGACTTTATTTTATTTTTCTTTAAGAAACAAAGCTTGACACAGTTTGAAACATCAGCCTAATCTAGGACTAGTGGGATTTCATCCAGAGGGACCTGGATGACCTACAGAAATGGGCCCAGAAATGGGGGTTCCAGCACAGGAAGGACAGGGACCTGCTGGGGTGAGTCCAGGGGAAGCCACCAAGATGATCAAAGGGATGGAGCACCTACAGGGAAAGGTTGAGAAATTTTTCTTTGTTCAGCCTGGAAGAGAGAAAGCTCTGAGATCACCTAATTGTGGCCAGGGAGTTACAAGAGAGATGGAGAGAGACTATTTAAAAGAGCAGGCAGTGTCAGGACAAGGGGGAATAGCTTCAAACTGAGAGAAAGATTCAATTATATATGAGGAAAAAATTTTCTTTACAGGGAGGATGGTGAGGCACTGGAATAGGTTGGCCAGAGAAGCTATGGATGCCCCATCCCTGGAAGCACTCAAGGACAGGTTAATTGGAGTTCTGAGCAACCTGATCGAGTGAAAGGTGTCTCTGCCAACAGCAGGGGTTTGGAACTAGATGGTCTTTAAAGTCCCTTTCAAATCAAACCATTCCACAGTTCTATCAAATATAGTTAGGGCTGTGGTGATGTGCATGTGTCTTCAGAATTCTATGGTTCTATGACAATTACTATTATAGAGAAGGGATAAGGAGTAGAGGAAGCTAGTTTTTTTACAAAATTCTATTTTATTTTAGAATAGGAAAAATTCTATTTTCTATTCTAGATTAAAAAAAAAAATTAAAAATTCTATCTAGCTAGCTGCCACCTCAGTGCTCTAGAATCATAGATCCTTATAATTATGTAACTAAGGCTCTAAAAATAACCTTCTCCTGGGCATGCTAACACTACTTGTCTAACAAGTCTAACATGTATCATGAACTAGATATTCATCTAATTATTCTGTCTGTAGGCTCTCTTGTGGTGGACATTCTCCAAACCTACTTAAACTTTGCAAAACCCCACCATATCCAAATAACTGTTTGTGCCTGAACAAAACAGCATTGGCAATATGTCCTCAGGATGTAGGAGCCCTACAGTTTCTTAATCTGATAATTACATCTCTATCTCAGTAGATGTAATCTTAAAGTCCAAATCATGGGCTATATCTCAAGCTATAAAGATATAGATTGCATGACACGATTACCTCAATTTATTTCCCATTTTCATGAAATAATAGGCAAAAGAAAGTATATTCCATGGTCCTCTGGCTAGAAAGTTCATAGTGGAAGGCAGAGGAACAGTTACAGTTCCTGCTTCCCAAAATATCTGAGTATTTCATATTAACTATTAATGGAAGCAACAGGTAGAGCGTTCATCCACCTTACATTCCACACTATTATCCCAACCTATGGATCATGAATTCCACTCTTGTTTATTTTTTCACCTGAATGAATATTTAATTATGTCATGGTAACAGAACATATTCCTTACAAAGTGCTTCTTAGAGCTCTCACATGTCAGACAAAGGTGAAGCAGCCAAACTCCATCAGGAAGTAGTACATGCACCACTGCATCACACACACCTTGTGTTGTTAGTGCTTGTACAACCAAATGCTTCAAA